CATGGATACCTGGATATTTTATTGATATTCCAATGTGTGGTTTGATGAAGACTACATCGAGGTCAGAGAGCATGAATTCATTCTTTAATACATATTCAGAAAGTGGGAACTTACTTTTGAATTTCATGATGAATTACAACACTGCCGTTCAAAAGCAAAGGAATACTTAACGAGAGCTTGATAGGTCATCAAAGAAAGCATCATATAAAATGCAAACACCTCGAGAAATAGAACTGCAAGCATCAAAGGTTTGTACAAGTACATTATTTTTTGAGGTGCAAAAGGAAATATATAAAGCATGTTTTTTCTGTACGTACTCATATGTTGGTATTGAAGATGGTTGGGAAGTTTACATTGTGCAACACAACAACAGTAAATGTGCTTTTAAAAATGAATTTAAGGTAATTTTACTTGTTTTTTTATGAAAAATGTAATAATATTCATATATGAATATGATAATATTCATATATGAATATATGAATATATATGAGTGTTGATATGAGTATTCTTATATGAATGTAAATGTGTAAATTTTGTTTTTGTATCAGGTTGAAATAAAAGCTGAAAAGAAAGAAATAAACTACAGTTGTGAACATTTTAAGTGTATGGGTGTTTTATGCAGACATGCTTTTACAATAATGATGAGATGTGGTGTTAAAGAAATTCCTGGAAGGTACATTTTGAAGAGATGAAGAAAGGATGTGATATCAAGAAATTGTCGTTTTAGTTCTGTTCAATCCGATTCAGGTGATTGTGAGAATGTAAAGCTAGTCAATGATTCATATTATAGTTTTGAATCATGTTTGGATATTGTAAGAGATGACAAAAAGAGATTGGCTTTGTTTGTTGAGAACCAACAAATTTTGTTGAAGGAATTTGAGAGTGATTATATTTCTCCTGGATTGAAAAGCAAGACAGATGGTGAAGTCGTATGTAAGCTTTTGGGTGTTACTATTCCTATTCCAGAAGAGATTAATATTCACATTCCTGAAGTTCAAAGCAATAAAGGTTCTGGAATCAAGAAAAGAATTCCAAGTGCAGGTGAAGTAGCATATGAAAATTCTAAAAAAGAACATAGAATGTGTTCAGGATGTGAAAAGCGAGTTCCACACAATTTACGTACTTGTCCAGAAAGAGTTGGAGCTGCTAAATCAGCAAAAGACAGTTAGGGATTTTTTTTATTCATTTATGAATATATGCAGATAAAAACAATAAACAATAATATTCATGTATGAATAATACACATTTATATTGATATGGTAAATTGATATGTTGATATTTGTTTTTTAAATTACTATACAATAAGTTATATTGATATTGTGAATTATTTATAAATGAATATAAATATGTGAAATTTGTTATACTAATAAATAAGTAATATTTATATATGAACTTTTTTATGTTAATATCTGAACTTTGTTATACTAACATATTACTTTGAACTTATTTATAAATGAATATATCATATTCGTATTCATTTATGAATAAATAAAAATAAATTTTGAAAATATTTGAATATAAAAAAATGACATAAATAAGCAAACTTGTTTCTACTAATAAGTTAGTTATATTCATATATGAAATTTGTTATATTCATATATGAACTTTGTTATACTGACATATTATTCCTAATTTAATCATAAATGAAGATATCATATTCGTATTCATTTATGAATAAACATAAAGAAACTTTGAAAATATTTAAATATAAAAAACTGATAGAAATAAGCGAAGTTGTTTCTATTACATAATCATTCAACACAAGATAATAAAAGTTGTTCATAAGCATTTCACAAAATATTAAAACAATGTTCAACAATATCTAACTGTCACAACTAGAAATTTTGTGTCATGTAATCTATACACTCAAGTTAATGTGAATCAAAACTTAAGAGCATGTGTGATACCTACTATTATGACATCAAAAACTTCAATCAAATACATCCTACAAGTGCTACAAATGGTCATCAAACAATTGGAAACCCTAGAAGTTCTTGTTTAGATTCACTTTGGACTAGGACTTCCTTATTGGACCCAAATGGACCAATAAGCTTCCAATTTGACTATCATGGGCATAGAACCCTAATTGGGCTCTATTTGGACCCACATTAATTTATTTCAACATTTTGGGCCATATTGGGCCTAGAATGAAATGAATTAAAAGCTTTGATCCATGAATAACCTAAACTAGTCCAACAAATATGTAAAAAAATCATACTATATTCTTTTATGTTAAAACTCACCCAAACTAACTCTAATATTGGGCTTAGGGGCAAAAAGCCCAAATTTTCCTTTTCCTTCAAGATTCTCGGCCCAAGGCCCAAGTCCAAGAAGAAGTGGTGAGGAGTTGACTTTGGTTTGCCACCTCATTATTGTCTTTTGGATTTCCATGCAACATATCACATACCTCCATGCAAGTATCACTTCAAAGATCACTTCTTCTTTTCCCTCCTTCACTCTCGGCCATCTCAAACACACACACATCTCACAAACTCTCTCAAGAACACTCAAGAAAACTTCCTCCCTCTCCACTCAAAGATCTCGAAATTTAAGAAACTTTCAAGAGGATATTACCACAAACTCTTCATCTAAGGTAAGATTATGCTTGGATCTATGACTTAGGTTCTTTTTGTTATCAAAATCTTTTCCTAATCCATGCAAAAATCGTGATCTTACCTCTTTGAAGCATACCAAACTCGAGATCTTCAAGAAAAGGGTGCTAAGGCCAAAAATCACCAAGTTTTCTTCCATCTTTTCTTCAAAAACCGAAATCACACCCTAAGGTGAGCTTCATACCCCCTATTTTCTGTTTTTATGAGTTTTGTGGGGGGGGGGGGGAATACAAGTGAAAGTGTAGATCTATATATGTTTTGTATGCCTTGTATGATTTCTATGCTTATATGTGTGTTTTTGTGTGTTATAATGTTGGATCTAGCCTTAAAACCCTTAAAAACCGAGATATACTTATGATTAATGATACTAGCATCAAATATATTTCTACATACAAAGTGATCCAAGGAAAATAGCTAAATGGCTTAATAACATTTTATTTGGGCTAAAAACTCAATTTTTGGACATAAAATGTTAAAAATATAAAGTTAAAGGGCCCAAAATGTCATATCACGAATTCTGATGGATGAGGAGTGTCAAAACAGTTTCAATGAAATATTTTCTGAAAATATACTCATTTGGAGGATTAAAGATATAAATTTCAAGCTTAATGGGCTAAAAATGACAATTTCGGCCCAATAGGGCACATTATGCGAAATTTTCTGTTTTGGAGGGCCAAAACTGTGTTTTTCTGTAAAACAGTGGACTACTAAGGTTCCAAGTACTTTTCAAAGGTTTAAAATGCTTTTCAAATTTAAAAAGGACCAAAGTTGCAAAAATTTTCCAATTTGGGCCAAAATTGTAAAAACTGTGAAAAAGAGGGGCTATAACCGAGAAAACTGCAATTTCAAGGACTTAAACTGTTTTCAATGAAAAATATGCTGAAAAATATTAATCTCAATAATTTTTGGTGTTAAAATGTCAAGAAAAATGATTTAAGGACCGAACCGGAAAGTTATTTAATTAGAGGGTTGAAAAGAGTAAATTTTACAAACAATGAGGGGCTGAAAACAGAAAACTTTCAAGGCTAATTCAATGCATGCAACTTGATCAAATATTGGCACCGCAACTACCTACGTAATACAATACACAACAATACCAAAAATCGTTGTTAAACGAATTGATTCGGTCTCGAATCAATAACAATCCGAAAATACTAACATGACGATAACTCGATTCATACACGAAAACATTTGGTAATTCAATATACACGTGAGAGTGCACAGACGTCTACGCACCATCTTTGGGCCCCAAAGTGTAAAATCTTGTTTGTTGGGCCTAGCTAGCCCAATGACCTGATCTTAAGGCCCGAAGACTTCTACCTTACGAGTTGTTGGGTCTTACATGATCTAACACAGCGTAAAAGGACTTTCAATGGCTTTTATACTATTGGTCCCCAAGGGTCCTATGGTATTGCTAGTAAAGTCGGTATTTCATGCGAGGCGGGTCAAGGGCCCCTCGTACCCTTTTTTTTTTTTTTTTTTTTTTATCCCCAACCGGTTAATGGAGTCATCGGGGTCTTCGTGTCCTCTTTCTCTTCGGATGTGGGATTACTCGGAGTCAGGGCGGTTGGATAACGTGATTAGTACGGACGACGCCTACGGGATCGTTAGTATAGTTATAAACTGATCGTTTGTGTAACGCTTGTTTATAGCAATTAATCATGCGCAAAAATAATCCGACGTTGCTTGGAATTAATGACTTCACGCGTTACAATGGTTTTATTTTAACTTCATGGAATTCAAAGAATTTGGAAAACATCGGGTTTTCCTAGGGTTTTTCAATACATACAGTTTCGAAATGTACACAAGTTTAATGAACACTTTTTTTTTCACAACTATAGAAACAAACAAGCATACTTATGGATCTTCACAAACTTTTTCAGAAACTCTTTTTTTCTAGAAAATATCGGATTTTCTGGTGGTTTTCAAAATAATACAAAACATTGCTTTTCAAATACCGCTTATGAACTCACCAACATTTCATATGTTGACGTTTTTCAAAATACTTGTATTCTCAGGTAACCAGTGAATCAAAGGAAAATGTACTCAGTGATGGCTTGCAGTTTATCTATTAACGAACTGAACAATTTATTTTTGGGAATGTAATGTTTTGAGACAATGTAATGGATGTAAACACTATCAGTTGTAATATTCACATGTTGGTGACGAATGATGTTATGTTTCATGTATATTCATTGTGATGGTATTCAATTGAGTCACAACAACTCCCGAACGTTTCCGCCGTCTGGTTCGGGGGTGTGACACTAACAAACCATTTAAAACTTGTTTCGCAGAATCATCTTACGTGTACTTCAAATCCATTCATCTTCAATACAAACTGTTCTATAGCATCACACTTCAACATTCTTTCATCTTCACAAGAAATCATTAATATTCTTTTATCCTTTTTTGAATTGTTTGCATAGCCTTGTATGCATGATCAATACGCACTTTGAATTCAACTTTTTGATATTTTTCAGCAAGATCCAACACCTTAGCCTTCAACATGTTAATTTCAGAAGTTAGCATTATGTGTGCATATCTTTGCCTGAGCTTCTCTAAAGTAGTTTGTTGAACTGCACTTTCTTTATGAAGACCTGGTTTCCACTTTGAGAGTGGTTGTCCCATATAGGTCTCCATATGTCTCATTGCAAAGACCCCACAATCAACTTTGTTTTTAACTGTTCTCCATGACATTTTAAGTCGTTGGGGTTTGATACTTTCTTTTGAGATTGCATTTGCTCTTGGATGGTTTATTTCTTTAAAGTATTTCACAAACAAATTTTTCTGATCATTAAATAAAATAAAAGTTAGATATGTAATAAATTGGTTCTTTTATGTTGTTGTGAAATGGGTACATACCAAAGGTTTCATTTTACTCCGTATTTCCCTTCATAATCCCCCTCAACTGCACTATTGTCTAGAATTTCAATTGACGGTTTCTTTAAGTTGAAGACAATCACAAAAATGTGACCACTTTTAACAACTGGAAAGAATACCTGTTTTTATGTATATAATGGTAAGTATTTTGTTGATAAAATATATATAAAAAACAACTTTAATTAACATACCATGTCAATATCTTTTATGTTCAAGATTTTTTTTGTACCCATTGGTACTGTCATGAAAGTTCTCCTTGAATTTTTCATACTTTCTTTCATCAGACAATGTTGAAGTTAGATAAGCAGTCTGTAACCAATATAATCATATGTGAATTTTGATTGAATATATATAATTATGTTAAAGAATACATCATATCTGTATAATCATATGTGAATTTAAGTTGTAAAAAACTATAATATTCATAAATGAATACATCATATTGGTGTATTCATTTGTGAATAAGGAAGGAATTAAGGTTAGAACATAAACTTACAGAAACTCCAACTTTCAAGAAGAGTCTGTATGGTGAATTTCCAAAATCCCTTTCCAGTTCTTGGTGGTTAAGTAAATCAGACCAAGTGTCTAAAACTTCTCCAAAAATCTCTATGTTTGCATATAGACTTTTCATAACTGCTCTTTCTGCTATCTGACCATATTTTATCTGGACAACCACATCTCTGCAAATATATAATCAAAATGTCATAGATTATTATCTATATAATAATCATATATGAATATAGATATAAAATAAAGTTACTTACGATGTATTACCTTGTAATTTGAACAACCATTCACAGACAATACTCTCCTGATGTGTCAGTTTGGGTTTTGTGTCTGTTATTCTGCATTTGAAAGGTGATTTGAAAGCATCAGCAAGCTTCTTCTCTCTTGGTTGATCCAGATCATGCTTTGATGGTCCTACTTCAGTAGGAATTGATACAGAGATTGAATTTGGATTAAGAACATTTTTCTTTGCTAATCTGATAACAACCTTCTGATGGTCGTCTTTGATTTGTTTCTTTGTAAGTGTTTTTTTTTGGTGAAGATTCATTAGATTTTTTACTTGAAGTTTGATCTGAATCTTGTCTGAGACCTAGACTAAAGCTTGGATGAGTAATTGAGTATCTGCATGCCAGGAGATTTATCATATAAATAGTTGTAAGTTAATTATAATATTTGAGTTTATATTTTGAAATGTTGATCCAAATTGTTACCTCCTTTATTTCCTTTTGTCTTGTCAGCTTTTTCTCCTTTCTTGTTTTGATTTTCTGACTTTTTCTTTCCTGAAAGATAAAGAAATGTGATTAAGTAATTCATATGTGAATAAGTAATGTATTCATTTATGAATAAGTAATACATATCATTATTTATGAATAAGTAATACTATATTTTTTATTTATTCATATATTGTGTTATTCATTTATGAATAATAAAACTTACTATATTCATTTATTAGTGAATCAACTATTTACCTCTATCTTCTGCATTTCCTTTTTCAATTTCTGTTTGTTTTTCTTCACATCCATCTTTCGTGTTCTTAGCTTTCGTTCCTCCTTCATTTCTATCTTCAGAGTTTTCCTTGCCTGAAACATATACATCATATATGAATATTTTTTATTTTTTATTCATTTATATAGTATATTATTCATTTATGAATAAACAAAGTTATTAAAAAAATCAATATAAATATTGTAATATATTTTAAATCATTCATTTACCTGTATCATCTCCCTTTGTTTTTTCAACTTTTGTTCCTTGTTCATGTACACCTTCTGATTTTTCCTTTTCTGCAAGAGTATTAGTTTTACCTGTACTCATTAGTGACCCTGGTCAAAATTTAACAAAAAAAATTGTTATTGAGTATTGATATTTTTATATATATTTTTTAAAATAAAATTAAGACAAAATTTACCTATATGAATATTATCGAAAATAGTTTTCATTTCAGGGTGATTCCAGATTTCATCTTCTTGACTATTTAAACTTGAAACTCCAATTCCAAGGACAGTGTCCACAATGTTGTCAACAACTTTATCCAACAAATTTTGATTTTTAGTTTGTTGAATAGTCTCTTCATGATTATTTGTTTCCTCAGCATGATCATCTTTTTCTTCTTCATCATTCTGATTTTCATTCCTCTTTGCATCTTTCTCTTTTACTCTAATTTCACCTTCTTTTTGATTCTTATTTGCATCATTCTTCATTCCTTCATTATATGCTTCATTTGAATCAAGCAAATAATCTACTTCTGGTTGACTTGCACCATTATCACTGTCTTCTTCACCATTTCCCTCTTTATCTTCATTTTCTGTTCGATCATTTGTTTTTTGACCCATTATTGGTGTCAAATTGATTCCTTCAACTCCAATTTCATTAATTGGAAAATTAAAAAGTTTTGTGCTTTCAGTTTTTCCTTCAACAATCATATTTTTCATCTTTTCTTTGAAAATTCTAAAACTTTCCTTTTCAGGGAACTTTGTCATCGCATCATTAAGCTTTGAATTCATCTTTTCCTTCATCCTCTCAAAACTATTAATCATTTTTGATATTTTTGATTCATATGCCTATATAACAAAAAGAAGTATATGATTAGAATTTAATATAATAATTTAATGTAATCATATATTATTAACATGTTAAAACTAATTACCTCAACAGAATGATCTTCATCTTTATCAGAATCACTGTCTTCGAGATCTGTATCTCCTTCATTTTGTTCATTAACAAATTCTTCGTTTAATTCTCCAACTCCAAATCTACCTTTTTCTTGTTCAAATGTCTCTCGATATCTAATCTTCTCTGAACTCCAATAACAAATTGTTGGACGTTTACGTGTTACTGTTAAAGCTTCAGAGTGGATGTTATCAGCATAAAACAACTGCACATAAATGATAACTAATTGACATTCATATATGAAGAAGTAATATTATTTTTTACTTATTCATAAATGAATAAGTAATGTAAAGCATTACGTGTGAACAAATATATTTTTCTTATTCACATATGAATATTTGATATTAGATTATGAATAATCAATATTATTAAAAATTGAGTATAAACATTATAATAACTTACCACCAAGAAAGCTGAAGGTCCAACAAAGAAGCTGTTATCTGAGTATGGTATGTATGAGTTTTTTGTTCTGACAAGACAGTCCAAAACATAGCTACACCAGTCTATGTTGCTGATACCTGTTTTTCTTGAAATATAACTCAAGGGAAACAGGTTGCATCTTCCCATTGATGTTGACTCGCAAAAAGTGTTGACAAAAAGAACTAAGAAGTTCAATTTGAAATTGAAATCAGCTTGTGTGGTAGAAACAATAACATTTTTTATTGCACTCAGTCGGATGATTGAATCTTTTTTAAATTGTTGCTTCCATTCATCATAACTTGTATCATCCTTAGGCCATTGATCCAGTTGTGTAAGTTTGGTTCCACCAATTGGTATGCCTAACATGTCATGAACAGACTCTGCTGTTACTTTTAATTCCTTTCCTTCAATATCTATCACCACTCTCTCAGAATCAAATTTTTGAAGAACATAAAATCACAGCTTCAGTGGTATATCCGTGATTTTCATTTTTAACAAAGCTCCAAAACCCATAGATCTTACAGATTCTTTTTGTTCTTTGCTCATCCCAAGGATTATAGATAGTAATGCCTCTGGTGAACATCTGTTTTTCATTGAGTAAAATTCTTTTACCATTGGTTTTTTTGTCTTTTTTGATTCGTGACTCCTTTTTTTTGCCTTCTTCGATGGATGACTACTTTCAAAATCAGAGTCTGAATCTTGTAGTTGTTGTTTTTTAGGAGTTTTCCTTTTTGATGGACTTCTCCTGCTTTGATGCTTCATTTTCTTTGGTACTTTTGTTTCCTTTTTATCTGGGAAATGAAAACATATAATATTTGAATAAGTTACTGATATATGAATATGATATATGCTTGTTGATTTATTAATATTTATTTATTTTAAATAAATATAACTAATATATACAATTTTATTATATATGAATATATTAGATATGATAGGAATTTTGTACCTTTCGCATTTTTCCTCTTCTGCATTGATCTTGTTTCTCTCATTATTGGTGAATCTTTATCGAAAATGTTAGTGTTCTTACCTTCATTCAGTAGTAAGTAGAAGATAAATGAGTTTGATATTTACGAATGAATATTTGAATAAATCATATGTATTCATATTTTTTTATTCACATATGAATATGTTTTGTTATATTCATATGTGAATAGAACATATGTAAGTGATTCTTGTTGTATTCACATTTGAATAATGTATGTATGGTAGCAAGCTATGTTCTATTCATATGTGAATATAACATACATATTCACGAATGAATATTCGAATAAAACATATGTATTCATATTTTTTTATTCACGTATGAATATGTTTTGTTATATTCATATGTGAATAGAACATATGTAAGTGATTCTTGTTGTATTCACATTTGAATAATGTATGTATGGCAGCAAGCTATGTTCTATTCATATGTGAATATAACATACATATTCACAAATGAATATTTGAATAAAACATATGTATTCATATTTTTTTTTATTCACATATGAATATGTTTTGTTATATTCATATGTGAATAGAACATATGTAAGTAATTCTTGTTGTATTCACATATGAATAATGTATGTATGGCAGCAAGTTATGTTCTATGTGAATATAACATACATATTCACGAATGAATATTTGAATAAAACATATGTATTTATATTTTCTTTATTCACATATGAATATGTTTTGTTATATTCATATGTGAATAGAACATATGTAAGTAATTCTTATTGTATTCACATATTAATAATGTATGTATGGCAGTAAGTTATGTTCTATGTGAATATAACATACATATTCATGAATGAATATTTGAATAAAACATATGTATTCATATTTTCTTTATCCACATATGAATATGTTTTGTTATATTCATATGTGAATAGAACATACGTAAGTAATTCTTGTTGTATTCACATATTGATAATGTATGTATGGCAGCAAGTTATACATATTCACGAATGAATATTAGTTTTGCTTGTGTTCAGAAGTAAACAAAACATATTTTATTTACCTTTTTTATTTCTTCTTGGTTTTCGTTATATGTATTCTTCACTGTTGATGTCGTTTCTGTAAGGGTAAGTAGTTAATATTAGGAAAACATAAGCAAAATGTTAAGTAACGTTTGTATTTTGACAGAATAGTTTTGAATAAAGATGAAAAATGAAGAGATGATGTAAAATCATTTATATATCAAATAATAATGGATGATTCTTACAAAAATTTTACGTAAATAAAGTAACAACGAAGGAGGGTTACGAGAATGAACGAGTATCATAAATTTCAAGTAAAATTGAAGTAAACAACCTTTTTTGAAGAATGAATAGTGTGAAAACAATGTTTTTAGTTATAAATCAACTATTAATTTCTGAACATTACGAGAAATTTCAAGTAATCATGTGATAATTTTAGAAATGATTTGAAATCGTTAAAAACTCGAGAAAAAAACACCGATGGTTACCTTTCATTGTCAAGAGAGAGGAAATGATCTCGTTCATGTTTTCATCGGAAGACATTTTTCTTCGTTTATGTTATTTGATGCTTCTACAAATGTGTTTCTTCTTGTCGACTGTTCTTCAAATGGTTTTCAAGTTATGGTGTATCGAAGAGGGAAATGGTGCTTTTCTGTCGAGATTTGACGTGATATCAAATTACTCAAGTGCCCTGACGGTTTAATGTTTTTTGATTATTTACAAATTTGCCACCGCTCATTAATGTATTTGGATTATTTACAAGTTTGCCACCGTGCGTTTTTTAAGCTCGTTAAATGATTGGCTGAGAATGGTTCCCTCATTCTCAATTGAGAATAGGGGAATCGTTCTAAGCCAATCATTTAATAGCATCTTAACGTAAAATATACGGTGGCAAACTTGTAAATATAATATGAAATCCTTCAATCACAGATATGTAACTGTGGATAATTTGATAATAATTCAAATTCATTATACTCGATCGTTCATCATCCAAATTTCTTCTCCAACGTTCAACGATCATCCAGATTTCTTCAATTAAATCATCGATCAATATCATCTAGTATTAGTCAATCATCCATCTTCGTCAAAAACACGTTCATCAACATCATTCAACAGTAGATCAAAAAAAATCGTTTTTGGTTCTTTCAATTCAACCCTCAACTATGCTTGAGTACGAGAATATCTTCAACATCTACGATTAATTTTACTCCCGGTGTCATTAGATCAATATCATCGATAATCAACAACAGTTTCACTTCATATCATTCATTCAACATCGATCATTAAAAAAAACTTCGAAATTAAGGTTAGAAAAACATCAAATCATTTTTTTTTGAAAAATTTCATATAATTCTCTATCAATCTACTATTTTGTAAGTTTTAAATAATCAAAGTATCATGTTTTTAGCATTTTTAAGAAAGCTTACTTGTATGCACTCCAACTGTTTGATGAAATGCATAAACTAAATGACCACGTTATATTCACGTATGAATATGTTTTCGCACCTTAATCAATATATGATTATTAAAACACAAAAAATATATACAATTTTATATGTTATTCATATATGAATAACATATAAAAATTATATATATTTGTGAATATATCTTGTAATATGCATATGTTAATATCCTGTGTAATATTCACATATGAATATATCATCTAATATTCATAAGTGAATATAGCATCTAATACCTACAAGTGAAAATATTATGTAATATTCACAAGTGAATGCATCGTTTGATATTTAAATATGAATATCATGTATCATATTCACAAGTGTATATATTATATATTATTCATATATGAATATACTGTGTAATATTCATGAATGAATATATATATCATGCAATATTTAGATGTGACTAGAATGTGTAATATTCACAAGTAAATATACCATATAATATTCACATATGAATCTACTATATAATATTCATATGTGAATATACTATGTAATATTCATTTGTGAATATATCATGTAATATCACATGTAAATATACAATATAAACAACATATATCATATAATATTCACATATGATTATATATTCATATGTGAATTTACCATGTGATAATTAGAATGTGATAAATCACTATTATTATGAACTAAAAGTATATTTTTAACATTTTTTATGTGTATTCACATGTTTTTCAGGCATCGTTATAACTCAATAAAAGAATAACATTTCAATCAATGGTTGGTTCATATCTCGGTGGTTGACGATTGGTTGATGTAATTGAGAAGATATCATTGACGAAGACAATATATTTTTATATTCACGTGTAAATGTTATACAATTTAATATATTCTTCATTTTGATCGTATTAAATTCAAATGCAAATGATATTCATTAACCAATATAATGTTGTTTGTCTTAGTATAATGTTGATTTTACATGTAAAATAATATTGTTACATTATATATAAAAAAAACTATGCACAAACCAATTCATATAGTGTATTATTTATTTTTATATATAAAGGTTGTATTCACAAAATAAATAAATCAGCATGTATAGTTTATTCACATAAATAAAAATAAAAGATTACAATAACGATGTTTTTACTAGTAGGATTAAAGTTAGTAACATCATCAGTAAATATGTCGTTATGATTTCTAAACTTTATTCATATATGAATAATGATGATGTCATCACTAGTAGGAATGAAAATTTAGTGACATCATCAAAACAATATGCCGCAATGAAGTTTAGTCTCGGAATTGGACGAAATTCGCATATTTGATGTAAAATGGTGCGATTTACAAAACTCACTGCTTCGCCGTGATGTACGGTGTTTTTCGGCCATTCGAGGCTGTTTAGGACCTCAAAATGACGTTTTTCTATTTTTATAATTTTCTGAAACAAAAAAGTTATCATTTATTCACAAATGAATATAACATTAATAAAAATATATATGCTTATATAATTATTTTATTAACCTAAAAAGATTAGTTGTATGTGAATAAAGATATATTCTTATCAAATATGTTTTTTATCTTTAATTTTATATATTTTATAGTCCTCGGTTTTATTGACAGTTTTATTCATTTGTGAATAATACATATATATTCACATTTAATTATTACATATATATTCATTTGTGAATATTACATATGTTTATATGCGGATATAATTCTTATATGTTATTCGCATATGAATTACAAACTTACTTAGGACCTTAAAATGACGTATTACCTGTATTCATTTATGAATATTACCTGTATTCATTTGTGAATATTACATGTATTCGCATGTGAATATATTTTTTTATATATTATTCACATATCAATTACATACTTGCTCTGTGTTTTTAAAAGATATACATTGATTCTCATATAAAGACATATTCACTTGTGAATATAACGTGATATATTTAGTTTATGCATTTCATCAAACAGTTGGCGTGCAAATAAATTAACTTATATAATAATGGTAAAAAATTCACAATTGAAGCCAATAATTACAAAAAAATCAAATCCTATCAAAATCGATTAATAATCAATAGGTTTATATAAAAAATTGTGAAAAAAAATGTATAAAAAACGAAGTTTTTCAAACTTGAAAAACGATTTTTAATAAATCTGCAAATATATGGTTATGTTGATGAACTTTCGATTGC